TGGAGCCCTCACCTGCAGGCGGGAACGTCAGTGGTGCGGCCACTTGGAAGACGGCCCGCCGGCTCCTCACCTATTAGACTTGGAGCCGCGTGTGACCCAGTGATCCACTCCTGGCTTGTATCCGCGAGGACTGAAAACATACGTTCACCCAGAAATGTGCACACACGTGTTCGTAGCGGCACTGTTCACAAAGCCAAAAAATGGAAGTTCTCTTCTTGAAGTAGAAGGCTGCAGAATTCCTCGGGGCCTCATTTCCTTTCCTTGGTGGCCGTGTAGGAGTCACTGGGGGGTAGAATTTGGTTCCAGGTTTGAACTAATGTCCTCACTGAGGTATAGAGAGAGTCTGTGTTCACAGCTGTCCAGCTGCCAACAGCCAAAAGGCTTCCCACAGTGCACGGTCCGTTCGAGTGAGCTCTCCGGGTGATCGCCCCAATCTCGCGCTAAAGGGGGTCTTTTCTGCCCTTTGATGGGCAGCTCTGAGGGCTCCTGGGCACCAGCGAGGCCTCGTCCAACAAGAGTGACTGCCCTCCTGGGCAGCCCGTCGTCCTCAGCCGTGAGTACCACGAGCTGTTAAACTGCTACTTAGTATTTCATAGAAACTTACATAAGTTATTTATGGGAAATGACTGCAGCTTTCAGTGTCTGTACAGTGTCTGTCCCGTGACAGAGGCCGCGTTACACTCTGGAAGGAGCTGGGTCAGCAGTGCATGGAGTCCTTTGCGGATCTCGGTCTCTCTGCACTTTGCAAGACGTCCACCATAAGCAGGCATCGTTGAACCGAGTGCAGAAGCTGCTGGAACCCGAGTTGTTACCGGGTAGGTGTTGTTCTCACGGATGCACTGGGTAAAGGCCCTGAGGTTAGGTGTCTCGTGCATGTGTATGTCCGTAGGAGAAAGCAGCAGCATGACGTCGGAGTTCTATCGAGAAAACGAGCCCCAGCCGCCGTGTGTCCAGGATGAGTGCTTCCTGGCCCTCACCGGCTCCACGTGACCCGCACGTGTGGGACACGTAGCAGATGTCTCCGTTGAATCTGCCGTGTGTCACATTGCCAGACTTTTCTGGACCCTGTCCAAATCCTCCAGAAGGCCCCAGTGAGTTTTGAAATTTGAAATTGTTTCCTGGGTTTGAGTCTCTAGATTCCCTGGGAGAAACCCCCCTGGGCGGAGGTGGGAGTCAGACCCGCCCTTTGGGCTGCGCGGTGGCCCTGGCTGGTGCGTTCATGGCTGTGCCGGGTGGCCTTGCAGAGTTCTCTGTGCTCGTGCAGGCTGTTTCCAAAGAGTAAGTGCGATGAAAAGGTCAGTCAGTAACTTAGGTAAATACAAAACCAAACAGTGTGTGGGAAAAACTGCTCTGTTAAGGTAGGTGCTTGTCTTCCCAGATGAGTGAGCCTGGAAACTAGTGGTTCGCTGGTGGATGGACTCCTTTGCCTTGAATGTCACTGTTTTCAAATGGTGCCATCGTAGTGACCCCGAAAGCAGAACTTTTGTGTGCCTTCTGGGAGCCCGATGGTGTGGTGGGAGGCGGGGACAGTGACAGAATGCTTCCCGCTGGACAGGCAACCACGCCAGTCACTGGAGGCCAGCTGCAGCCGGACCCACCGCCCACTCCCGTCTGTGTGACCACGTGCTGCGAGGGGCTTGTGGAGCCATTGGGGTTTCTAGCAATGCCTATTTTGAATTGGGAAATTTAATTTCTAGTGGATGTATTTGGAATAAAGATGTTTCTCCACGTACCTGTCATTTCCTCCTTCGGCATCCAGGGAGCACCTCCGGGGCTCGGGACTTGGGAGGCTTTGGGCCAAACGCTGGTGAGGCCCGGGGTGTAGACTGTGTGGCCTCGTCCCCCGACAGTGCCGTGGGAGCACCACCCGTGGGCCAGATAGGACAGACCTGTGCAGGGCCAGGGAGGCCTCGTCAAACCCCCCGGGGCTCCACCGTGGCGGCTGGCATGTGAACCGCCCACCTCCCTACCTCCCCTCGGGCCGGCGCCCAGCACGTGGCGCTCCCATCGCGGGGGCGTGAGATTGCAGACGCTCCGTGCAGACACGGGAGACGGAGCGCAGTGTCCACGCCTGTGGCCGGAGGCCAGCTGCTCACTCGCAACTCCGTCAGCGAGGAAGCTGAACACGGAAGCAAATCATAAACCAGAAAGCTCTAACCAGGGAACCTCCAAGATCCCTGCTGTGAAAGTAGACGTCTCTCTGAAAAGGAAAACAAGACTGTGGAATCGGCTTCGTGCATCACAGCTGTGTCTCCCGTTGCAGTTCTGCCCTGTTTGTGCTTCTCCGTGTGGGCACTGGCACCCCCGAAACCTGCCGCCCACCAGCGGTTCCCTCCAGACTCCGCAGAGAGTTGCCTGGTGGCCCAGTTCTGGGGCCAGGGAGGGGGCACTCGCACCTAGCGCGGAGGTCCGGAGTGTCCCCCATCTGCCCCAGCCTTGTGACACACCTGCCAGCCTCCCCGTGGTGCTGTGTGCCTCGGGCCTGACGGGCCACAGACCCACCTGGCATGGAAAATTCCTGGTCCAGATGGCTCAAGAGGTCATTTGCTCTACCCACGTCCTTCTGGGGGACCGTCCCTGCAGCCCTGGGAGCCAGTGTCCTGCGGGGCAGGTGCTCCGCCGGCTGTCTGAGCGGGGAGTGGGACGCGAGGAGAGGATTTGGGGTGTGACTCTGCCGTCTCTTTCCTCTCTGCTTTATTATTTATTGCGAGAGAGAGTGAGTGAGAGTGGGGACGGGAGGACAGAGAGAATCTTTAAGTTTTTAAAAGGATTTTATTTATTTGACAGAGAGAGAGGCAGGCAGATGGAGAGGGAGAAGCAGGATTGTGAGTGCAGAGCCTGACGTGGGGCTCGATCCCATGATCCTGAGATCACAACCTGAGCTGAGACCCCGAGGTGACACGTGAGCCACTGGGTGCCGCGTTTGCTTTGAACCTGTCTCTGGTGAGGGCTGCGCAGGGTCACTGCTCTCAGGGCCACCGAACCGCACAGCCAGAGTGGTTACAACAGTGAACTCACGTTACCTGTATTTTACCACCATTAAAAAAACGCACGGCTCTAGCAGTTGTATTTTTATTGGAAGTAAGATGTTCTTTACGACTAAGCGCAGTAGTGCTGGGTGTTCTGGGCATAATGTCCTTGTTGCAGAATGGGTCATCAGTACAGCTGCAGCCTTTCCTCCCTCCACGCGAGAAATCGGAGGCGAAGAGCAGGGTCTCCTCACCGGCGTGCCGTCCACGAGTGGGCAAACACGGCCCCGGAGGCCCGGGCCTGGTCGGCAGAGCCCGTGGAGCGCGGCCTGTGTCCCCGGCTGGGGTTTCAGCAGGGTCCAGAGGGGCGCACGCGCCCGGAACCCGGAGCAGCCTCCTACTGTGTGACCGCCGCTCCGACCAAGGGACGGGGCGCGCATGCCTTCCGTGGGGCGCCGCGTCCTCACTGCAGGAGATCGCTAAGAATGGAAATAAAACTCACCTCTGGGGCCCTTTGCAAAAGCACGTGACATCGTGACTGGGAAAGAGCTCTGAGAAACGTCGACAGTGGAGGGCTGGTCCGTGAGGAGCAGACGTGAGAGTGACGCCCGGCCCGGTCCCGGCCGGACACGGAGCCGTGACGGGAGAGGAGTCGCCACGGACCCTCCTGTCGCCTGCATAGCCGTGATGATCCACAGGGAGAGGAGGGAGTCCTGCCGCTCTGGCGCGTGGACCCAAGGATCCCCTCCACGTGCCTGCACTCTCGAACCTCACTATGCGGGGACCTCAGGCCTTGTGGCTGCGGGTCCCACCACCAGGCGCCGGGGCAGGTAGGAGGACGCTGACACCGCCCTGCACTTGTGGGGTGGGGACTGCCTGCGTTCAGGCCGCGGCAAGTAGCTTTCTATGGCTGTTTGTGGGGAGTGGGCGAGCAGGTCCTGGACATTGCGTATGCCCCGCTCAACTGGCATTTTCTGGGGTTTAATTCTCATTCTGTTAGTGACCCGTGACCCTGCTGCCTTGTCGCACAGCAAACTGACATGCAGGACGTGTGAAGCCTGTCAGCCGCTGTACGATTTTGTCCGCTTGCCCTCTGCCGGCACCGTGCCGTCCCCGTGCCGTCCCCAGCCCCGGGAGGGCCGCCCTCTGATTCCGTGCCACGGAAGCCCTTCCCCAGGGAGCTCGTGGCGGAGCACCGGAGGACCGGATCGCCACCTGAGTGCGGCGCGGGCCTCGAGTGTGGGGGGGAGGGGCCCCAGGCCGCGTGCTGGCGGAGGCCGTCAGGTTGTCTGAGGTCCCAGGTTTGGGTGAGTTCTGCTGCTGTTCACCAGACTGCCCGTCAGTCCACGGTAACTAGCGGCTGCTGTTCCTTCCGCAGTGTGGTGTGCGCCAGGCTTCGGGGCTGGGGCCTGCCGACCAAAGTCTCAGCGGAGGAGACCACAAGCAGGACTAGTCCTCCTGCTTCAAGGACAGGTGAAGTTGTGTGTCAAAATGAGAAGAACAAAAAACCCGCCGGTTACAGAATTAATAAGTATCTCGTTATGACGCTTTGAGATGTTGGGTGACGCCCGCGGAACCTGGAAGCAACCAGGCCCTGGCCCTCGGTGTGTTCCCAGCGTCCCCGCTGCGTCTTCCGTCTGCTCGCTGCTGCGGCTGGTGGGGTCACTCTCTCTACCTGAGCCGCACCCTTGTCAGGGAACACACCAAAACAAGGGATGCCGGATGAAGACTGGATTGTAAGATAAACACTCAGACACCGTGCGGGGCCCGAAGGGAAGGACGTACGAACGCTGGGATGGTCCGGCACTGGTGCAAATCCGGGGCGAGAACTTACTTCCCAGAGACCCGCCCGTGGTGCCGGTGGAGGGACCTCAGTAACGAGCGCGAGGCCACGAACTGCAGGAGGGCACTCCCTGGTGGCCTCTCCGGGGGCTGCCCTGTCGGTCCTTGCTTTGGGGCCACGTTTCCAGCGGATGCTGTAGCCGTCTGTGGCCACTAAGCCTCTCTCTCCCTTCCTGTTCTGCCCTGCAGGTCGCTGCCATCAACCCCAACCACCCGCTCGCACAGATGCCCTTGCCGCCGTCCATGAAGAACTGCATCCAGCTGGCGGCCTGTGAGGCCAACGAGCTCCTGCCCATGATCCCCGACCTCCCGGCCGACCTGTTCACGTCATGCCTCACCACCCCCATCAAAATCGCCCTGCGCTGGTAAGTGGCTCTTGCCATGACCTGGGCTTCCCCCGGGGACCCAAGGGACGCAGATCCCAGGGACCGACCCTACAGACGCAACTGGTGGGCATCAGCTCAGCCTCCTGAGGCTCAGGCTTTACTCATAGAGAATGAAGGAAACGTTCTGCCTCTTGGGCGAGTGGCGCGTGCGGCCTGTTGCTGTGCGGTGCCCGAGAGCACCCTCTCCGTATTGGTCTGCTGGGGGCGTGTCCCTAGCCGCAGCCCTGGGTGTTCTGGAACTCGGGCCGTCATGACACGGAGAGCCGTTTGACCCCCAGGTAGACTGGAAGCTGGATCCTGCCACTGATTGCTGGCCGTAGACCGAGTCACGACCCTTGCCTCCCACGCCCTTTGTTGCGGTCTGGCGCTCTGGAGAACGTGACCGAGGACGTGGCTGGGGTGCTGCACACGGGAGACCCCGCGTCGCTGACGGGCACCACCATGGACGTGCGTGCTCGGGCCTCCACGTCAGGGCTGTGCCGCCGACCCCCATTGCTCCTTCATTCCTTCCTTTCTGCTTTCTATCTCGCTGAGACGCTCCCACGTAGTCGTTGTGCGGCCAGGAGAGAGCCCGTGTCCAGGGGGCGCGGGGAAAGCACTCAGCTGCGCGCTGTTCCCGTGCTCTGGGGGGCGTGTTCCGGGGCTTTCTACCAGGAGACGCACAGACCTCTGGTCCTTCCCACGGTCCAGAGAAACGGCAGAAGGAGCATGGGCCCTGGGGGCTGGCAGCGCAGTGGCCGGCCACTGGGGAGACCTACGAGGGCCTGGGCTGCTTGCCCCTGAAGCAGTGTTTCCCGTAAGCCCAGCGCCCTGGGGTGAGAGGCTATCGGTGTTGGACTGGCTGGGCAGCACCCCTCTGCTAGCCTCACCCTCGCCACCAAACCCCAGGGCTGTGGGGGAGCCCAGGGAGAGCCTCCTGTAGGGCGACTTAGCCCTGAGCAGTGAAGGGGGAGGGGGAGCTGCCCAGAGGGGCAGGCAGGGGGTGACCCACTGTGCTCCTCAGCGGCTGGGCTTATCCCCCAGCTGACATAGGCCAGCACCTGCCTAGGGACGCTCTCCACTGCGCCCCGAGAAGCAGAAATCAATGGGGTGGGGCACAGCCAGCACAGAGAGAGGCTGCCGAATGTCGGCCGACAAGCGTGTGCACATGGTGGGAGCTGAACGAAGACGCTAGAAGCCGGAGGTGGGACTCCGACGCAGGAATATAGAAACGTGCCCAGCGGAGACACAGGAAGAAGGAACACAGTGGATGGGATCCGTGGCAGGGAGGGCGGCTGCAACCCAGATCAGCTGGGAGGGGACACTGAGGGACATCAGGGCGGCAGCCGGGAGGGGCAGAGAACAGGCCAGAAGGGCAGGTGGCACAGAGAGAGATGGATGTTCCCATGGGCAGGGAGAGGTCGGCAGAGGTGCCGCTCCCAGGGGCCACACAGCCACGTTCCCAGGACGTGGGGAAGAGGCAGAACTCAGTCCAAGCAGCGCCCGCCCACCAGGGGGGCACACGGGCTCCCCCCGTCGTCTGCGTCCCCGCGGCTGCAGCTCCTTGCACGTGGGTCTCCACTCGCGAGGGGTTGGTGAGGTTTTCTTTGTAACCGTCCTCCCTGTTTGGAGGCTGCCAAGGAAGATCACAGGTCCGTGTGACAGGACTGCAGAAGGTCTCTGGTCCAGAGGACTCAGGAGTCCATCCGTTCCACTCGTGATCCACAGCGTAACGGACAAAATCCCACGGCGTCTGCCAGACCTACGCTGAGCGCCGTAGGCGGTGCAGAGAAACGTGGTGGTCTCGTGCCTTTGGGGTCTAGCTGAGGGGACAAGCTGTGGCCTGAAAGTGAACGATGTATGTGGAGCTTGACATGGGCAGAGCGCGTCTGGGCGTCACAAGCAGCTCGGGGTCAGACTGAACACACGCGTGCACCAGGGGCTCTTGTGTTCCCGGGGACACACACACTCTGAGGGCCCAGGGGACGTGTGGAGGAGACGCAGCCCTACGGGCTGGCTGTCACCGGGGGTGACGTGCATGTCTGCGAAGAGAGCGCGTGTGCCGGCCTCATTACGTAGGAAGGTGTGGGGCAGGGTGTAGGTCAGGGGTAGACTGCGTGAGATGTGGGCGCTTTGAACGCTGAGCCATGGCCTTCGACTTGGAGGACCGGCCAGGAGAGCCTGGATGATGTTTCCGTGGGAACGTGACTTAGTAGGAATAGAGCTGCAGGGAGATCATCTGTGGGATGATGGTCCCGATCTGGTCCTGATCTGGTCCCGATGGGGTCGGAGGCGGCAGCAGAAAGGTGGGAATCTGTGGGCCGGAGACCCCACATGTGCGCCTTGAAATCTGGAACCAGGCCTTGTTTCCGCTCATTTTCCTGCCCGTCTCTCCAGGGTTTTCTGCCCTTCCTGCCTCTGTGCACCCCGACTCTGGAACGATGTGGCGAGCCAGGTGTGCTCAGGGCCTCCGACCCACCCCTGCCCTCCCGGCCCCCCCCTCCCCCAGCCAGGCTGGGGCTGATTCGATGCGACTCGCACGGGGCATGTTTGCAGGTTTTCAGGAGGTGAAGGAGATGCAGGAAGGGGGCGGGGAGAAGGCACGAGGAGCCTAGAAGGGAATCTGTGCCCCCCCCCCCGCCCTCCGTCCTCACCCCCAGCACAGTGAGTGGACGTTCTCGCCCACGTCTCTAGTGTGCGCTTCTCCGTCTTGGTCAGGAGGGACTTGGCGTTCACTAGGGAAGCTGCTGGCACGCAGACGCCCGTCGATCTGCACAAATTCTAGAGTGGGTCCCTGCCCCTGACCGGTGCAAGGGCTCTCATGCTGCCGCAGCCTGATGTGTCGTGTCAGGAGCGACCTGAGGTCCTTTCGGAGCTGGGAAATGATTAAAACTTACAGAAGCGAGTGTTTGGCAGGAAGCACTGTGAAGGATAAGTCAAACTCACAAGGTCACCATCAGATGGACGTTGGGGTCCATGGGCCGCAGCTGCAGGGCACAGCCGTCAGATGAGCACTGTCTGGAACAGCGAGGCTGTCCCGGGCAGGCAGACCTCTTACAGTAAACCACCCTGTGCCACGCCGAGGAGCTGAGGTTAGATTGAACAGAACTGTCCTTCTGGTGGTGATAAACAGTCACCGTTGGGAGCCTCGTCGAGTAAAATGTGCTCTTGTCTCTAACGGCCAAGTTAAAAACCACCAGCTTTTCTTGAAGAGAGAAAGGAAAATAATTTGGTAGGTAGTATTCATTTATATGATTAGGGTTAAAGTTTTGTTTTTTCATGTAAAAAGCAAATGTAAAGTGGAATATCCCTTTGTAGAAATCAACTAAAAAGCAAAAAAAAAAAAAAGAGAGAAGATTATTCAAGATTTTACCATCGTGAGCACAATCAGTGTTAACTTTTGGGTCTGTTTCCTGTCAGTCTTCTTCTCCGTGCACGTACGTTTCTGCATTGGTGTAATGAGACTGCAGCCGCGGCTTCTTTTACTTAATCTTTGGTGTTATAATAAATTTATCCTAGACCATTAGGCAACTCTTAGTAAACATCATTTGTAATGATTGCATAAGATTTCACTGTGTTGATGTTTTGTGTCTTATTTAACCAAAACGTAGGACTTTAGGATTTAGGATTCTGGTAAATATAGAAAGGAGAGCTCAGAGAACCTCTAGGGTAGGGATCCAATAACTTCTTATGTAAAGGGCCAGGAAGCGAGTCGTTTGGGCTCCATGGGCCCAAGGGCCCCAGCTGGGCTGGTGCAGCACGGAAGAGCCGTGGTGTGCACGGATGGGTGCGGCCGTGTTGCAGTAAATCTTTATTTGTGGAAACAGGTAGCAGGTCCTACCTTGCCAACTTGTACCTTAGAGAATAGAACCAGGATCTTACTGCAGACGACTGCTCTCCTCATCTACTGGTCAGGAAATAACCTAAAAAAAGGCCTCCCCTCCTTCCTTCCTCCTTCCTTCTCCCGATGTAAAGCAGACGAGGGCTTTTGACATAACCAGGCACGGTTATGCAGACCACTGTGTGCTGTATACACACACCATAGTCTTGCTTTCCACGTACGAGGTGTGTGAGTTCGTGGTTGGTGGTCTGCGTATTTATGAACCTTTTTTGATGGTGAAGTAGTTGTTGGAAAATGTTGTTTTCTGATTTTCTCTTCATGTTTTGTTTCAGTCTTTCTTGTTTTCAGAAACTGATCATTTCAATAATTCTGAAATGAGCAAGTACATTGTTCCCTAACGAATTGATTACATTGCTCACCATGTGTATCAGTGTAGTAAAAGGGTCTAAAATATATGTTTTTTTGGCTTTTTCTACTTCTTGGATTGGTGGCAGAATGCCATTTTAAATTTATCCTGGGTATATTTGTGTACTACTGAAAATTATAACTCAGTGCTATTTAATTTGCTGCGGGACTTGCTATAAAAAAGATTGATGCCTTTTGTACTGCGCGGCATGGAATCGTACTGTTTATTAAAGAAAATGATAGACATTATTTTGGATTGAATAGAGGTCAAGAAAACTTGTTTCCTTCCTTTAAATTAAATTGAGGAATTTCAAGGAGTTTAAATGTTAATGACGCAGAATTAATGTAAATCTGTCCACATGGGAAATCTTGCCCTCATGTTTACCCAGTGAGAGACGCGAAGGAGAGGGGCAGTCCCCAGGTGGCAGGCAGAACCCACACCAGTATCAGGTGCCCGCCCAGGTTTGAGTCCCGGCTCTACCAGTTACTAGCCGAGCGGCCTCCTGTCCTCGTCCTGACTGCAGGACCAGAGGCGCCCCGTCCCCCAGGTGCATAGTATGGGCTCACCGAGTTGATCCGAGTGGTGGCACTGAGGACGCTCGGTACATGCTGGCCACCCCCGTTACGGACATGTGAACATTTCAGCCAAACAGAAGAATGAGTCAGGCTGGTCGTAACGACTCAGCAGATGAGAGACGGCTGAAACCTGAGCCCTGGGCGGGGAAAAGCCAAAGAGAAGTCAGCCGATTCCAGA